CTACCGCTACTGCTGTTGCTACTGCTACTTACTGCTACGACGACGACAACTACGACTAGCAGCCTCCACCACCGCCACGACCACCACCACGTCCATGTACCCCAGCACCAGCACCGGCACACCACCCAGTGGTGCCGTATCACCACTTCACGAAGGCAGCCTATAACTTCATAACCATCACAAACATTGCCATGCGCCTTGTGGATAAGGTTCTTGCTGTGGCAGTACGAGATCGCCTCAAGCGACTGGCCCATCACCTGGAGCTGCCCCAATAGAATCACTCCATTCAAAGTGGATAAGAGGCCAAACTACTCCTGGCTCCGGAGGGTACCTGCTCTTCTCGGCCATATATCCCGTCGGTAAAGCATACACTCAACCATCTTCGCTTCTTAGCTTTCGCTCGCCGTAAGACCATACACTGTCATACACTCAACCCGAAGGACCAAACCTTCTTCCGCACCTCGGAGATGAATCGCTCGGGGAGCGCGAGGCCACTCCGCGCATGGGCCGCGATGAGATCCTGTGCTGTCTCTTCCGGCTTGCCGCGTTTGGATCTTCGGATGTAGTTCTCCAAAGGCTTAGTTAAAGAGTAGACAATTTGGTTCAGGCTTTATACGTGTATATATCTGTATAAACCTACAGAGAGATTGCACATGCGCGTGCACGATGTTTCTTTAGATTTTGTTTACTGACACACCTCGATTCTTAGGGTATGGCTTATGGGCTGCACGACTTTGCATCTCGAAGACACATGGCTGACCGTAGGATTCCCAAAGAGAATGCCATGGTACCCTAAATCCTTAACCCCTAAACTAAACCCTGAAGCCCTAATCTTAGCTAGAGCCCTAACCTCGAACTGGCTGTGACTCCTGGAGCTCGCCACCCTTGCAGGCCTCCAGGACCATGCAAATCCTCAGGTGGGCAGTTGTCAACATTAACCTCCCCGCTCAAGGCTCTACACTGTTTTCTTACATTATGGACACCTGTCATGCCACAGCCCCTCCCAGTGGGCTTGGACCTAATATTGCTTAGGGTTCCTACTACCACCACACCAAAACCCTCGTCTAACTATTAAGGCCACCTTTTTTACCAGCTTGTCTTGGTTTCAGGTTGGGGGTCTTGAGTTTGGGCTTGAGGGGTCTAGGGTCATTTGACTTGGGGTCCCCTTTTAAAAGGAGCAATCAACTCCTGGGCGGTTGTCAGAACGGTCCCTTTGGGTCCCAAACAAAAGGAGGCCGAGTTCAAAGTAGAACTGCTTAGGGTTCCCCAGCAAGACTCCAATGGGTAGTTTTCTAAATTAGGGTCCCTTTTTAGGTCCCCAACATAGTACGGCACCCTTTTCAAAAGGACCCCCAAAAGGGACCCTAATTTAGGGAACTACCCTAGACCGGCTTGTGGTTTAGGGTTTTTTTTGTCGAGGGGGCGGGAGGGGGCGCGGGAATCTCAGCTAAGGGAGTCCTGCCACTGGACCCTAAACTGTTTAGGGTTTAGGGTTTAGGGTTTAGGGTTTAGGGTAGCACAGAATGGTTTTGGCGCTACCATGCTTGCTTCTCATATCTGGGATCCTGCTCAAGAACTGCACTGTACAAGCAGAGGTACTACAATCCATGGTCTGGGTTGGCCTAGGCCTAGGCCGCTCATCACTTGAAGAATTGCTTGTCCAGCTGCTTTCCGATTGACTCGTAATACTCGAAGACTTTCAAGACGTGGGGGTGGTCCATGGCCTGACACATGATTCATGAAGAGTTTTGGTTCAAGATAAGCTATGCCCTGAAACCTGTGTATGCATGGAGTAAAAAAAAAAAGCTCCAGTCGCTGCGGTACAAAACTCGGGAAGCGATGTGCCAGAATCGTGTCGAGAATTCAGGCGGCAAGGCGGGGCAGCAATTATGTGAGCCCGCTTGGGAAACGTGGTCCCTAATTCCATTCAACGCCCAGCCTTCATGTTCTCAATCTCGCGCAGCACCGACTCGCGCGGCATGTTAGGCTTGAAGGGCACCTGAATGCAGGGAGAAAGGGCCTACTGGTAGCATTCTCGCTTGGCTCCTTCGTCACGACCTTAAGGCATGTTTGACTAGTTGATGCGACTCTCAACTCTTGCTCGAATTGCCGGCGGCAGAAAGCATCGCTTGCAGTTTCCGGGCGATGCCCAACCTCCTTCACGACGCGCTCCTCCCCGCCGTCTCGAGGCTTCACCAGATGCACCGTGCCGAAGCAACCCTTCCCCAAGGTTCTCACCAAGCTGTAGCCTCAGCGGGGCTTACAGGGGCTGGAGTGGGGAAGGCAGTGGGGTTGAAAGAAAGTTGCGGAAGTTACAGTAGGGGTCCATGCATGCCCACCTCAGCCGAACAGGAGCAGACCCGAAATCAAGTTGCTCTGGTCAATCAGTACATAGCTTTGACTTCTGACCAAACTGTCCCTGTTTCACACCACAGACCAAGACCTGAGAAGTCCAAGAGACAGCCCTCCCATGCCCCAGGTTTCCGATGGCCGAAGAGGGTGGTCTGCACACCTGCAGAGTGTGCTATCCCAGGCCGCAGGCCCTACACAGCGCTGACAAGATGTGGCAAAATGGCGGAGGCTTAATGCAGTTGGCCCAGCAAGTGCGGAAACCGCCAATAAATCCGACCCTTGCAGACCGCAAAACCAAAAACTCTTTGCTGTTGTCTCTTTGGAGCTGGAGCTCAAACCCTCCGAATCAGGCATCCCGTAATGGTCTCAGGGCGCAGATTCAGCACAGCCAACGGTGACAGTCTTGCCAGCCTGGTTGGCAAACGGGTCTTTGCACCTGAGAAGCAAAATGTTCTCGACTCGGCTCCCGGTTTTTTAATCGGGGAGCGACTGGATTGTAATCCGGGTCTAGGGTTTTGGGGTTAAGGGCTTATAGGGCCTCAAGCCCAAACCCTAAACCCCAAACCCTAAACCCTCAACCCCAAACCCTATACAGGAAAGCCCTGGGGGTCGGCTCTTCTACGTCTTCTACTCTCTTTGGATCGAGGAGAACTTTTCCTGGAGAAGGCGCCGACCCACTCAAGCCTTCTCAGCTTACCTCAACATGCCGCACCGAAGCTCAAACCCGGTGAAAGCCTCTTGAAGGCAGAAACCTATATATATATACACATAAATATAAATATAAATATAAATATAAATATAAATATAAATATAAATATAAATATAAATAAATAGATAAATAGATAAATAGATAAATAGATAAATAGATAAATAAATAAATAAATAAATAAATAAAATATATATATATATATACAACCGTTTTCACTTTTTGGCAGGGGCTCGGATCGCCGCGAACCCCAGATACTGCAGGGGCCGGCCTGCGCAGGAGCCCTTGGGAGGGCGACCATAGGTTGAAGAGGCGCTGCCGGACGAACCACCTCGGCACAACCGAATCCCGCTGCCTTCATAGGTACCTATAGTCTTAGTTCCTTTGTCCTGGCCACCTTGAAGGATCCTATTTTCTAAACCAAAAAGGGAACTACAAGGTTCTGTGGCTCTTATCAGAGTGGGGGTTTTGGATGACATTAGACGAACATCTTATCTCAGGGCCTTCATGGCTAGAGAGGTGCTATTCTATATACTTCGGCTTCCAGAAGATCTGATTCTGTAGAAGGACTTCAGGCGACGCGGACCCTCCAAAGGAGGCTTAAGGAAATCGATGCTCGCAGGTTTTAGTCTTATAGGGATTGGATGGGTTTCTGGCGATAAGGGGCCTAGGGCGGCCAGCGGCTAGGGATTCGGGGCCTAAAGGGATTTAGGGTGGGCTTCCGGCGTGTCCCCAAGCGTTTTCTCACCGCCGCACAAGCATGATGAATCTGATTCTCAGATGCATCCAAGCAGCCCCTCACCCGTTGCAGCATGAACCCTCTGAATCCTCGAGTGCCCGGCTTCTGTGAGTTCTGAAGGGTATTCGCCAGGGTCAAACTTAGAGGTTTACCCACAGTATGCCCCATCCCAACAATAATCATAGCCACGTATGCCACATCCCAATAACATAGCCCTGTGTCTGGAAAAACAACCCAGTCTGGGCCAAGCGCCAAGACAAGGCAGACAAGCTGGTAGCCTAGCCAACCAAGGCGAAGGTGACACATAAAAACTTGTTGTTCTGGCTCCACTGAATTTCAGTACGAGCCGAGGTAACGGAAGCTACAGCCCCGGCGCTAGGGCATATGACCAAGTCACACGAGCTCCAACAGCCAGGTCCGATAGTACTGTAGTGTTCATGCATCTACCGAATCATCCCAAGAAGTATACCCCTGAAAGAGATTTTCGATCACTACTCCAGGAGTATCCCGTCGTCCGTGGCCAAGCCCGTGGTCATCAGATCGCTGGTGTCTGTGACGACAATGCCTTGATCTGTGATCCTCCAAATCACATCGGAGGCCTCTGCCTGAGACTTCTCCTCCGCCGTGAAGAACACGGTTCTGGGACGACGATGCTCTCTATCCTTCGCAGGTAAGCCAAGCCCTCGTTCCCTCACGTGGGCTTGCAACAGCCCCAACATGGTCCTTGCTGTTTCTGCGTTGTAGTGGTGCAGCGGGCGCTCCAGAACCATGACCTCGGGGTTCATGATGAAAGCCCGCGCTAGGTGGATCTTGACCTTCTCCGAGTAGGAAGTAGACCCTATCCAAGAATCTCCAGAACTTTCGGAGATTGCGTCCAATTCCTCTCCTTTGGCATGCTTTTGCAAGTCTTCCTCGATCAGCGAGAGTGTCACCTTCATTCCCATCATCTGGAGAATGGCTTGCACGCGCTGGGGGTCGATCTTGGCCGGCGGGGGGCAACCGAAAATCAAGTTCCGCCAGGGCGAGCCGTGCACGATATTCGCCTCTCGGGTGACATGGAGCACGCGGAGGTGCGACGGAATGAAGATCAGACCTCTTTGGGGATAGATCACGCTGCCCAGAAGCCGCAAGAGCGTGGCTTTGCCTGAGCCTAGGTCGCCAGTGATGGCAATCAACTTTCCCTGCTCCACTTCAACCGAGACATCGTTGAAGAGTGTTTCGGTGACGTCCCCAAATTCATCCATCAAGGAGTAGCTCATCCTATCGAGTCTTATGGGTATCAAGTCCGTCTTGTACAAAGCCGTCATAGGATCGGTATCTGGATCGGAGGGCCCTGAAAACAGGGCATCACGCGCCCTTCTGGATTCTTCGCGGCGCTTTCGGCTGACGTCTTTTTGTTTCTTGAGGTCTGTCGCACTGTTGAACATCACGGTCAAGTCCACGAGCGATTCGTAGAGCGATCGCACCTCCAGAATGATTGCGTAAATCTCGCCGAACTGGTCACTAATGTCGCCCATGATGCCTACCGTGGCCAAGAAGGTTCCGAGGCTCAATCGTCCCTCCAATACACTGTTCGCCTCGAGGGCGATGTAGATGCCCATGAAAACTGGGCCAAGCCACTTCGGGAACATCTCGTCGTTGGCATCTCTAAGGCTGTCCGGGACGATTCCCTTTCGCAGCTCGCCGCTGGTCTTCTCAAACTCATCGTTCATCTGAGGCCTTAGAAAGTAATCTGCCACAAGCCTGTAGCGCTGGCACACTTCTTCAACCAGAAACACCAACGAGTCTTCAGTGTCCTTCCACTGATTCCGGGGAACTCGGATCAAACCTGTCACGATGAAGTAGATCATCATGCAGCAAGGCATCAAAAGAATGAACACCAAAGCTTCGGGGTTCTCCATGAGAGTGAAGTAAATGAAGATCCCAAGCTGAACAACGATCGAGACAAGCTCCAACAATTTCATGTAGCTTTCCGCAGCATCTCCTGCATCCGACGTGATGGCGCCCTGCACTGCAGAGGGAGGAGTTTCGCTTCGGGACTCTTCGCTGTAGTTCATGTACTTTCGGAAGAGAGCTCGCTGCAGAAACATATTAATGTGGCCTTTCAGGTCCATCTTGGCCTTAATTAGCGTCGCGGCATGCTGAAGGAACAGAGGTGCGACCAGACAGACCCCAACAATCAGAGCCGTCTCTTGTCGAGTGGCAAGCATGAGCTGTTCCTGGGTCGTTGCATCCTCTGTATTGAAAACAACATCAACCATGTAGACGTTCAGGAGGAGAACAGAAATGCGCCTCGCATTCCGGAACTCGTCCAGGAATAGCGTGGCCAAGGTCCGGATCTTGACCCCAGGCACGTGAGTGAAGCAAAGCTTCCAGAATTGCCACAGAAGACTCATGACACGAATTCGTCGCACGCCGTCTTCACCTTCCAGCAACAGCTCCCTGTTCACGCTGGACGGAAAGGTGTCGCCATCAATCACTTTCACACGACAGGACTTCAAGAAAAGACCCAGGGAACATCCCCTCTCATTCGCAAGCTTGATCTTGAACTCAAGTGTGGGAGACCAGAAATGGTTGTAGATTGTGTTGACCTTGATTTGCTTCCGGTACTCGCCATCAAGGAAGACAGCGCGACCGTTCGCTGGGTAGTACTGTCGTCCTGCTTTTGCGGAACCATCCTCTGTAAGCCAGTCCACGCTGACCTCACCATTCAAGGATCCCAACCTCATGATGTCAACGGTCAGAACAGTTTCCCAGTCCTCCACAAAGTAGATTGCCTTGGTGCCAGCTGGAAGGAAGAAAACACATTTTGTGGGCTTGCAAATCTTTTTTTGTCATATAAGGAAACCCAAGCCACTGAAAAGAACACAATATCACTAATAGTCACCAAATTGCAGTCGTGAACTGTACGATAGCCCCTGGCTTCGACATGGCATCGTCCTGGTCCACGGCAGCGGGCACCACTCCCACCGAAGGCTCCCCCGCCATAATTGTTACATCCCCAAAACCGGCGCTATAAATGTCCGATTGGGCTTGCTTGATCCAAATTGGACAAGTCATGCAAAAGCGTTTGCGCCATTTGTCGACAAGTGCATCCACAGTTCCTGTTCGATCGGAAACTCTGCAAAAGCTCGAGTAGGGTCCGTGCCATCTGTTAGCCACCATTTCTCTGTTGATTAGCAAGCCCGAAGAGAGTGGTCGTGACATAGAATGAATTACGACTGACACGACCTTGCACGTGTCCGTGTTTTTTCGTAAGGCATTTGTGTGATGACTTTGCTTTTTAGCTTTCGGTCCAATCGCCGCGAGGCCCTGATGGGTAAGTGCTGTAGCATCACGCTGGGGCCCGTGCCACGCGATTGGGGACCATCACTGGCATGTAGGCCTCTCTCTGATGGGACAGAGACGCACACAATCGGCCCAGCTCTGCTTCCTACATCTCAATGCTGCATTCACAAACCCACACACACATGCAAAACATCCAACCCCCTTGCAGAAACTCTCATAGAACCTATTTGTAGCACCACTCTTATATTATCTCTCAGAGAACCCTTTTCTTTACAGCGGCCGAACCGCATGCGAATGGACCTTTCAGCAATCAAGGCAACACACACGCTCGCTATGCTGCAAAAGGCGCTGGCAAAGTGTTTAGGGTGTAGCCTAGGTAGAAGGGATCGTAGGTTGTTCTCATTGTTTACTGTGTGTGATGACTACGATGGCGACAACGCTTGCAGATGGTTGCTGGCCTCACTAGGTAATCCCATGATTCGCCGTGACTAGGAGTAAACTAAACTTTGCAGTCTGTGGCAACTGCCATCATGTAAACCAGCTAACAGACGCACCATGCCAACGTCACGCAACTGTGTGGAGGAAGCTACGAGTAGCTCGTGGAAGCTTCAACCCTCAAGCCACTCCTTGATTGAGAGAGGCTGTGAGGTTGAAGGAACTTGAGGCTGGCACTGTAGCTCAGCCCTAGGCAAACCGACTCCTCATGAGTAGCTCCCCGCCCCATGGCCTTCGCTGCTACAGGGCCATGGGGCACCTGGTATCCAGCCGGCGTCGGATGTACTTGCAGCATGGCGGACCTACTTCCGGGCCGCTCCCACCCCTGGCAGTCTTACCTACTTTGAGCCGAGAAGAATGAATCCACCACAAACTTGCTATCAGGATGGTACCAGAGCCAACACCCCTGACCGTGGCAAGCGCAACAAGGACGCATTGCTTGGGGCCGGAACTTGCCAGCCACCCGTTGAATGGCTGATCACCCTCATAGTCTTTCAAGCATATTCAAGGCTTCTTGTATACGTGAATGTGAATGTAAGTGTGCATGCATGTTTTATTGAATGGAAGCATACATCAACGCATACATACGTAGTTGCGCATCTTGATTCAAGCACTTACTTACTCGACGCCTGCATCAGCCTTACCCACCCTCTGCAGCGAACTAGCAAACCTCAGAAAAGCAAACGATCATGTGGGCAATCAATGGACGTACTGATTTCACTATCACATTCGATAGAAAGCCTTCCAGTGCTGGGCAAGCGTCATTTTCCTTAGCTGCTATGCGTGCCAAGCCATACAATATAAGCACACGGAGTTGATGTGCTACTTAGCATGCCGAGACCAGCAGAAATCTCGACGGAACTCAACACCACAAACATCGCCGATGTCAACGATCGCAACACATCATCCGGGACACAGCACGCGGATGCCCTCCAGGTATTGCTCCACCTTAGCCACAGCTGCAGCTTTATGTGCGGCATACTACCAGAAGAGTCTCCAAGATAGCCTGGGCCTACACTAGAGCAGCACTGGCGACTGTAAAGCCTTCCAGCTCTATCTGTCTCCCCGTCTCTCACACTTCTCCCTCGGGTCAGTTTTCGCAGCTTCCCGAGAACGGTGTTCGACCTTGGCCATGCTCAACGAGCTGGCAGCATTCCGAACACCTCATGCATAAAACCCAAACAGAGGTCCCTCAACCTGAAACCTCGTACTAAAAGATGAAAATCTGCAACATCACGAACGTTGTTAGACTCGAAAAGATACTACTCGAATCACAAACAAGGAACACAAAAGAGCCGGAATAGCAATAAACTATAAATCAGCCCTGGAAAATGAAGCCCCCAGCCCGCCCCTTGTTTCCCCAAAACACCCTTTGTTGGAACCCGGGCTCTTTGCTTTATCAGCACCCTCTTGCTGCAGGCTTGCAAGCAAGAACGCCTGGTAGTTCGCCACTCGTCCGCCGACTAACACTTTATCAGCACCCTAAACCCCAACCCCTACATGCAACAGAGTTGCCAAGAGAAGCCTGCGATCGCTCTCAACCATGGCCAGGCCTGTCAGCGCAGCGCCCTTTGTGGGGTTGGGTTTTTTTTTTTTAGGGTTTAGGGTTTCGACTCACACACTCGCACGATGCTGGCATGGCAAGAGAAGGTCCCGAGCTTGTTACATGTACATACCTGCATATCGACAGGCTGGTTAGCCCGAAATGCCCAGTAGAGAAGACAACGGAAGTAGAGCAAGAACCGATAGTATCAGAGCAGCTAGGCAATCAG